ACTTCAGGCGCACACAGTGCTACTTTTAACTCCAGGGGAGCATTTAAGCACCATGTTGATGAATGCTGGAGATCAAGAGATGGTATTTAGACAGTGCTTTCCAGCTGCAGGGGGAGTACATACAGCCCACACCCACTTCTGGATTTCCAGGCCTCTGGCAGTTTAAATCACAGCCCTGATGTGCTTGAATAGTCTCTCTCTTCCAACGGAGATCTACGTCTTAAAAATTTCCATTTTCCTATTTTTCAGAGGGTGCTTGTTTCCAGCCCTTTCCTTTGTTTCAAATACAGTGAAAACCCTGAAAGTACAAATTTGTTCTGTGCTGGTCTATTACCTGAATCCATCCTTGCACGCGGTACATTTATCGGGATGGCCAATGCATTTTCTGCAGCTTTGATGACATTTGAGACAGCGCTTCTGACCTTTCAGAAAACACAGACAGTCAGGGCGAATCAAACACGGACAAGAGATGCAAGCAACAGTCACAGCCACAAAGCACAGGGTAGTTCAAGTTAAAAAATGCTGGTTTTCAATTGCTGTTTGCAGGCAGCGGCTGCCAAAGGAGACAAGCATGCCTTTCAAACAGCCTATTACAAATGACATGGGGAAGGGTGGGGGACAGAAGGGGTGTTCAGACTGCGTGGATATGTGAAAGGGCCAGAATAGATATCGACTTGATGAAACCTCTGGGCTGGGGATCTTGGGATGGTTCGGATTCAAGATAGGCTTCCTGTTCACGAGTCTCAGATTATCCCCTGCGTGCCAACAGGCGCTGGGATTAGAAGCGGCATATGTTTTTATGTGCTTTTACACTCAGAATGGGCCCAATGCAGCCTTCATTAAAGTCAATGTGAGTCTTTAATAGGAGACGGCTTAAGTCTCAGATTCCTGGCTCCAGCAGGGTTTTCTGGCCTGCTAGGGTCCTGTGCGGACGTGGGCGTGGGCTAATGCCCATCCATGAGACAGGTGAGGAGGAAGCATTTCTATTTTTGCCCACAGATGGACAAGCTAAAAGGTTCACAGCTAGAATGCAAGCAGACGGTTATTCAGCATTTGCTACCTGCAGCTGCATTGAGACAAATACCGTGGAGCAAAGCAAAGCGCAGGGAGGGAGGGCTGATGCCAAGACGTGCCTTCATCTAGTAAAATTCTGAATGTTTGGAAAATGTAACTGCTTTCAATTCCCCATCTCATCTATCCAGCCCTCCCCGCTCCCACTTATTCTCTCTCCACTGCCAATTAACCCAAATGGAACACCTTATCTAGGCATAATAATGATAATAGTACCCAACTGATTGCAGCTGTGGTAGTTAATAATATATTTCTGTAATGCATATTGTATGGCTCTAGCTAGGGTTTCTATCATCGAAATAAGGATGGTGGGTAAGAGTTTCACGGCTAGGAATTCAAGTACTTAACCCTCACAGACTTTCCATGGGAATTAGGCATCTAATCTTTGGCTGATGTTCCCTCCGAGCCCGGAGCTGGAAGCCCTCCGGAGACTCAAACCACAATTCTCCTCTGATCTGCTGCGTGACCTCAACTCAGATCCAAACCTTTCCCGGTCTTTGAAGGCCCCAGTTTCCGGGTGCTGAATTGGTGGCAAATTGATTGGTGGCAAATTGGTGGCAAATTGATTTGCGGAGATTTCTACCCCCACCATTCCCACTGGATTACACATGACGGTGCCCCCGAATGGGCTCAGCATTGAGGGTTCCTCCCCTGTGGAGATGGGGCTCTAATGCATCCCAGCCTCCCTCGGCAGCTGCAAAGGTTAAGACAGCTCACATTCAAGAAGCATCACCAGGCTCTGATCAGTGACAAATGCTTCGAGACAGTCAGTCCCGTCTTAGGCCAGCCACACGACAGTTGTTTTCTTGCACCATCCCAAGTTACCATTAGCGTTACGATTACCATCGCTAGCGGTACAGACAATGTGGTGCCAGACCTATGCTGACCGCGGGAGAGGTCTGTCTGAGCAAACTATGGTCTGGGGCTCTCAACTTGTGCACCCTGCATTGACAGCTGAGATTTCTTAATTTTTTTCCAATCTTGGCCATTCAAAAAAACCACCTGCATATCCACATGCTAGAGTGTACAAAGCATTCGCATCCTTACGTTCCTCTGAGTAAAACCCAGCTGGACATAGCATCGCACACGTGTTCGTTTCCTGATGGTGGTAATAGCCACGCCTGCAAGCCGTGCACTGCGTCTGGCCCCTGCCCGTGCAGTTTTCACACCCTTTGAAGCACCTCCGGCACCTTCTCACTGTGTCGTCCCCAAAAAACCCTGAAGGGCAAGAGTTCACACACATCCTGGAGAAAGGGGACAGCGAAACAACACGACATTAAGCATTTTCCTTTTGTTTCCAAACGCCTGATCCTGAAAGATGCATCCGATAGAGATCATGAGAGTGGAGGGTGCTAGACTAGACCAACAACTGCATATCGCAAAGAGATTTTCTTAGAAAACAAAATGGTTTGGTGATACACCCAGGGCTCTAGCTGGCGAGCAAATGGTTAAAAGTTCTATTCTATTCGAGGTCTTACACTGCCCTCATCAATTCACCACCCCTCACAGCATGGGTGTCCGAGTGCCTTCCCTTTATCCAACTGCAGAAAAATTGCAGAAAAAGATATATTTTTTTGCAATTTCTCAGTTGGTCCAATAAAAGGTATCATTTCTGAACCAAGTGTTTTACATTTTTGCATTTCTTTTTGTCTCGGACCAACACGGCTACCAAATACTTCCCTTTACCCATGACTTCTCTGGGGTGGTGTTAAGCATCATTTTTCTCTCCCTTGCTCAGGTACTGAGGGAAGCCCTTCCTTTGGGAGGACAAACACTTTTATGCTTTTATGAACTGATGTTTTGCAACTGTCTCCTGGGGCTCCCCATCTGCTGGTCTGCCTCCCTCTGTCATTTCCTCTCTTATACTAGGAAAGCTTTTGGGCAGGAGCCATTTGTATTTGTACAGCACCCAGTACAATGGGGCTCTGATCCAGGAGTAGGGGGCTTGGGCATTCATTCAATACAATAGCAAGCAATAATCTAGGCTGAGCCTCAGGCTGAAGCAAGTTTCCATTGCTTCTTTCCTCTACCTACGCTAACTTGACTTCATATCTGGCTACACGTATCACCCTTGGAGGAAAGTCCTTGCTGACTGCACCCATAATCTTTTCTTTGATAAATCATTCACCAACCCAGAAGTATTCAGAAGTCATCACTATCAGCCAGCAGCTTAGGGCAACATCCCTTAATTTAGGTACTCAGGCAGGATTGCTTTGCAAATGCATGCCCATCAACTGCTTCTGAGCTATGGCACCTCATGAACGAGATACAAAGCAAAGAGAAGAGCTGGATGTCAGGACCTCTGGGTGCACATAACCCAAAAGGAGGGGGTTCTGGCATAGGACATGACCACACACACGTGCACGCATGCACACCTAGCAAGAACCCGCCTCTTGGCAGTGCAAGCTAAGCAGACGCATGTTGATACTTTAGCAAAGCTGACAAGTGGGTCACAAGTCCCAAAGTGTGGTGCATACTCTCAGCTCATTAGGCCTGGAGGCCCAACCTCATTTGGTACGTCTTGCAAGGTAATTCTCTGTATGCAACTAGCTCACTCCAGTAATCACTGACCCATCTACACCTGCTGTGAGTGCACAACAGTTATCTGAGCAACCAGTTCCCCATCTCAATATCATCCCTTACAGAATTACTGGATCATTCAGTTCTCCCTGCACCCTTTTCAACAATTTAGTCCTTTATTATCAAGGTTTGCACTGTGCAACAGTCGTGGGGAGAGGTCACCAATGTCAGCAGCAAGGATCCTACCAGTTCCCCAGTGTAAATAAGCATTGACTTGACACGTGTTTCAATATGACCATGGACAAGGATATCAAAGCAGCCTAAGTCATTTGGGAACCTAAGCCATTTAGATGCATTGCGGCCTGGATTCCAGTTAACAGCAGCTAATAGCACTTACATTCCCAAGCGCATGACTCTTTGCCATGCAACCAAAGCTTCTGAATCACTGAGGTTTATTTGAAACTCCCCATATTGTTCTGATTATAAGATGACCCTGCATATAAGTCAACTGCACATTATCAGGTTCAACTTGTTTTTTTTCCCCCTGAACATGATGATATTCTACATTCAGATTGTAGCCTGATTGCTGGGGACAGGCTGACCCCGCATATTAGTTGGGTAAAATTTGTATGGGTCTGTTTGATGGGGGGGAAATGTTGACTTACTGGAATGATATGGGCACATGTGATAACGTCCTTCTGCCATTCACGTTCCAATTTCCAGCAAAAATCACCTCCCCTTCCCATGCATTCCTTCTCGCAAAATATATTTTCACATGACTCCTTATGAAAAGAGTCAAATCAGGAGCCCTCCATGTATGCAGAAGGTAAGCACAGCAGAGGGAAGAGGTGGCAAAGCAAGCTCCCTGGCTTGGCAATGCCAAGGGTGCCTCTCTGGGCCCAGTGGGGTAGTGGAGAGTAACATTCATCTCCTTCCTGTGCCCATCCACCTCGCTTCTTTGCCTGCCACCCAGAGCTAAGTTGAGTCCAGCCCCCTGGGGATGGAACTGAGACCAGTTCATTGAATTGTGCATCAAAAGCATTTCACAATAATTAACTGTAATGCACCATGTCTGCTGCCAGACCTCAACCAGATGGCAACAACTTTCAGCAATGAGCTGTCTAGTTGCACTGGAACTAGCCACGTGTTAGGATTCAGATTTCTTGGGCACACATCAGTACAGTGTCTGAGCACATAGCACCACCCTGCTCCCCTCCACTGAGGCAGGGGACGCGCCTCATCCCCCCGTTCACACGCGGGTTTTGGAGACATCCAGCAACTTGCCCAAAGTCATGCAGGCAGTACAAGGCAGATCCAGGGAGGGAGAGCCAGGTCTTCTGAGTCCCAGCTCCTTGCCTTATCCACCCGCCCTCTCTATACAGAGGAGAAACATGCTCCTTTCCACCTGCAGATTACGACGAGGCTTCTCTTCTATCTGACAGCCGATTCAGTCCAAAGCACTTACTGAATATTGCTGTGGTATGCAAAGGCAGCCCTCGGGGTAAGGCAGTGGGCCGGGACACGGGAGGTGGGGGGTCTTTACAGGCCCCCTCCAAGCTCTGGGCAAATCAAGCAAGGTGCATCCACACTGTGGTGGCATCTTGTCCGTGCCAAGATCTTCCTAAGCATGCTGTACCCAGAAAGATGCCACGGAGGCTGTTCTTAAGACCTTGGGTGCTTAACACAGCCACTGAGTTAATCCAGCAGACCCAAGGAGCAGAAGCAGGTGCATGGGGTAGGCTGGGCAGGGTCCTGCCTGGGATACACTAACACTGCAGCAGAGACTTGCCCGCAAATCCCCCCATGCCTCAGGGAGCAATACTTTTACACTACGCGCTTGCTTCGTCTACATGGATTGCAAACTCCTACCACAAGCATGTACAGCTCCGTGCACACTCGGCTGCTCCAGAAATACAAGGGAATAAAAATAACCACATTACCTGCCAGTTTTAGCACTTCCCAGGCTGTAATGGATGCAGTTCAAGCACTGATCTGCCTTAGGACCATCGCATCCTTGGTCGCCGCATTCAGGATGACATGGACCTTAAAGAGACAGATATGTCGGCTGAGACAAGTGGCACAAGAGCTTCCAAGCCCCGCTAGTATCTTCAACCCGCCTTCCTGCACGGGCGGGAGCTGCTCGGGGCCAGTGGGGATAGGGGGCTGCCCCATGAGGAGGGCAGGAAAGGACAGGATAGGACAGATGTGACCCTGATGCTTTTGGAGGGTTTGAAAGGTAATGTGCTCTTCTGAGGCAAATAGCCAGGAAGCCGTTTCCTTCCATTTGTCAGCTGCCCTCTCCCTTCACCCGCCGCCCAACCCCGTGTGTCAAGAATGCAGAATAAGGACGTTCCCCTCCTAACACTACACTGCAGCAACTGCCCAGACCCTTTAGAAAACCACCTGCCCCAAGGCCCAGGGATGCTGCTGAGGGCGCTCGCAGCATAGATTCCCGCAGGAAGGAGGTGCCTTATTGTACCTACGTGTCCCCCGATCAAGCCCTTTTCCTTTGCACACTGCAATTTCAGGTCCCTAACACTGAGCTGGGCACAGTCGAATGCTAGGGCCACCACACACGGATTCCTGATGGGGTTGTCCCTTTGAGGGGGAAAAAAATAGCAAGCCTTTAAAGGTGTTACCAAAAACCCAGTCTTTCCACGGGAAAAGTGCAGGCCTGATATAACCCTCCATGAATCCATTCTATACCTACAGGATGTTTTTCACCCAAACCCACACATATCTATAGTAAGAAATGCTTTGATTTGGTTCATATGTGTACGCACACATGTAAATACACACAGGCTCATGCACACGCAGGTTGTTTCTTCTACGTCCACTTCGGCAGCTTCTCCCTCCTTAGCACTAACTGAGACGTGAAGTTGCCTGGCTATTATAATCAGATTTGACTATCATAACTAGGACAAGTCCATAGTCACCTGCTACTAATTCTTGTATGAAACAAAGCAGAAAAATACTAAAAGGGAATGGAAAGGAAACACGGTCTGGCTACAGGTTGGCACCTCCAGTAAGATGCTTTTTGAAACGGCAGTCCTTGATTCACAACTACAAGTGTTTGGCCTGAGGAGGGCCGATAAAATGGGAAGTGGGCATCAGAGAAAACTCCAAAAAGTCTCCAGTCTCTACTGACATGCATAGTCAGTCCAATACATACATGGAATAGGAAGTTGCTGGGTGGGACATCAGGAGCAAGAACCGAACCCGCAGCTCCCCCTGGATCTAAAAGTCTGAGCCTCTGCTGAGTGCAAACGCTGGGCTGGTCCAGGCTGCAGCTGGCTCGTTAACCTCAGCACTGCACATGGCTCGACTACCACCCAAGGGGAAATGAGCACTACTTGCGGAGAAGTGGGTTACAGATAGATAACTCGGTGCAGTGTGTGTAGGGCCAGACAAGTCATCCTTCCACTCCACTCCACCCCGCACAGCACGTGGCCTTGCCTGGGGCACTGTGTCCAAGTTTGGGCCAACTGGAGAAGAAAACAACAGAACTCAATCTGAAGCCTAGAAAATACAACCTGGGAAGGAAGATTGGAAAGCCCAGGGTTTGTCTGCTCTAGAGGAGACTGGGGGGAAACATGATAATGGGTAAAGGGCTGCAATAAAGGAGAAGGCAACAAGATTTTTCTCTATGAGATAGGACAAGAAGCAACAGACTTAAGTTGCCAGAAGGGAGATTAGGTAGGACATCAAGAAAACTCTCCAATTGCACGGACAGCAAGGTGCTGGAATAGACTGCGGCATCTCCATCCCTGGGGGGTTTTAAGAGCATGTTGCACACGTGTCTATCTGGAATGGTTTGGATTGAGTTAGCTGTCCTGGTCCCTTCTGGTCCCATTTCTCTGTGAGTCCGTATCACAGGGAAAGAAGCATGTTCATATTTTTTGGACCAGGCTAAACTCCCTTTCCCATCATGATTTAGCACCAGCCACAGGCCCCTGGTGACAGCCTCCTCAGCTTTACAGCCTCATTCCACATGCTCAGGGCCTGGGTTTTGTCTCCAAGCACATGCTGCCCATCTACGCCAACACCACTGTCAGGTTTGCATTTCCCTCCCTGCTCCGGTTCCAGCAGCTTTGTCTGGGGCGACGGCCTGCTTGGCTTCTGGCCAGGCTTGGAGCTGCCCCATCCCCATGGGCTGGGAAATGTCGACGGCAGATCTTTTTTTACTCGCCTGACATCTTCACTACCAATTTGTGGTGGGGGTGATGGAACCCGCCGGTTTTTCAACCTCTAATTTGATCCCTTTACATAGTCTGTCCTGGACCATCTGCTCCTTTATAGTCCATGTGTGGGCTGGCAGCGCAGAACGCGTCCAGGAGGTTTGGCTCTGTGCAGCTGACAACAGTGCCTGCCCCCTCCCCGCACGCCGCGCTGTCGCTGCTGCACAAACAGCCGAGGGAAGCCGGAGCGTTTCATGTCCAGCCTGATCGCAGCGTTGCTCCATCCACAAACAGCCTGCTTTAAACCTGCGCAGTGCAACAGCTCAGCCCCACTTCACGTCGACCACCAGGCATCTGTTTGACTCGGACCCCTGGCAGACAGCACGGCGCTCCCCCGATGCCAACAGCAACACTGCTCTTGGATACCTGCTCTCTTCTATTCACCGGTCTTGACAACAACGCTGAACTGCAGCTTGGAGGCAACTGGTAGATCCTGTGCTTCCTCACCAAACAGCAGCAACAGCATGGACAGCAACGGTGCTCAGCTTGCACGCTGCTCAGCGCTGGTGAGCAAGGACCACGCTCACACCACAGTTGTCCTCTTGTCCGTTCAGTCCTCCCAGACACTAGGCAGCAAGAAGGTGCACTATTATGTGAGCAGTGACCTCCTTGGAACAAGATCTCCCAATGAGCGATCCTAGCAGGAGCATCCTGGGGTGCTGTGCACACATGTCTGAGCTCAATCCTTTACATGAGCTAGCCTGGGCCTTGGGAGCAGGAGAGCTGCCTTTGTGCATCGCTCTGCTCTGGGTAATCACCTTGGGGAGAAGCAGGATAGATTAGTCTGGGTGCAGTGCCACAGCTAACGCGGCTGTCCTGCTTGAGGAGCATGGCTCTGCTCTGGGCCATGTAGAGACACCTTTCGTGGCTGTGCTATCGGCGGCCAGATTCAAAGCAGCGCACTAGAAGCTCTCAGTCCCATTGCTGGGTCCTTCAGACTGTGCTAACTGTGCTTGTTTTATCCTTTGACAAACTCTTTGCAAGCTTGCAATACAAACACTGGGCAATGCTGACTGGGTCCAGAGAAAAGAAGAGGAAGCGAGATGAAGGAGAAGAGGTGTCTCAGCTTTCAAACCCACCAGCTCCTTAACCAGGCAACCCGGTCCACATCCTGGAAGGTATTTAGGTACCTAACCCCCCTGAAATCATCAGAATCAAGGCACCCAAACACCTTGCACTATCTGCCTCCTCATCCCTAGGGTTGGGCCTGAAAGACAACTCTATGTGCAGCCTCATCCAACTTGGGGAAGATTTAAATCGGGGCTGTGGGCTGGGGTGCCAGGAACCAGAGACCACTTGGGTGTGGAGAAGAAAGGGCCAAGTAAGGGTGGGAAGGATTTTCAATCCAAATGAGCAGACAAAAGACCTGTCTACACTGAGGATGCTCAAGGGATGAACCCGATGGCCACTCCCGAAATCTCTGCCTCTGGTGCACCCGACAGCAGGGAAGGGGGAGCCCCTGCAGCATCCTCACTGCTTCGGTTTAGACTGGGAGCACGGGGAGCGCGAGTGGGTGGATGCAGTTTAGCTTTCGGCAGCAGTCTGGACACCACTCCAGGGTCACAGAGCTCACCAGACACCCTGGTTTCAACACCAAGGCTGGTTAGTAAGATCAAGCCTGACGGGAGCAATCGGGCACTAGGCGTTCACATGTCAGGCTCACAGAGAGCCTTCTCATTACACTTAACAATCCTCCGTGTTACAGGGATTTACAGAAACCTATCCAGCTGCACGTTAATACCTGTTATGTCTCCCTGTAATGTATAAGACCACAGGAAAAGCAACACAGCAGATTAACATGTCAATAATTTAAGGCTTGTTTTTCAGAAACAGAAACTTGGAAAAGGAGGCTGAGTGGCACTGGTGGTGATTTCAGTGCGAGTGATCCAAAATGCATTAAGCGAATCATTCACTGAACTCCTGAATTGTCAGTGTTGTTCGTCTGTAGAAAGATATTGCATAAAGCAGAAACGTGTATGTTCAAAACGCAGCCTCACATTTACCTAGCAGCCCTAATATTTACCTAAAGGCGTTTGCCAAACCAAAGCTACACGGCATTTCTTGCTAATCCTTTAAGGACAGAGTTAAAAGGCCCAAAGAACTGATGCCTGTTCAGCAAATGCCCGGTGTAATGTGGGCACTTCTGAATTCACTCTGTTGCATTTGCTGCTAAAGGTGTTGCAGGTAATTAAGACAAATCTGTGTCAAGGAGAAATTTTTTTGCTTTCAGCAGCCTTCATCCCTCATCTTCCATTGTCGACCACAGCAGTGAAACCGCAATTGCAGGGCTTGGCTGTCACCTGGGGTGCAGGCTCTTGGCTGGGGAAGAGGCTTTATACCCCTGCTGCAATACAGCCCTGCTTTATACCCCTGCTGCAATGCAGCCCTGGTCTCCAAGCATGGTAGTAACGACACAAAAGCCAAGAGGGAAGATGCCTGGGGATGATTCACGTGTATGCAAAGGCCCGTGTATGCTTCCCATCAGGGAATACACACCCAATGCAGAGGGACCTTTGTGCACGTGAGAATCAGGCACTTCATCATGTCAGTGACTTCAGGTGAAAAAATACTCTCACCAAGGACTGTCTTGCACTACCCATATAAGCTTCAGGAGCTTTTCCTGGGCTTATCCCTGTGGACCCAGATAAGCTTCATAATCTACGTATGCCAAAGCTGTACTTATCAGCCAGGATCAGGCCAAGTGGGATAAGGATGTTCTAGCCTCTTTTCTTCCTCTCCCCAAAGAAACAAACCCTAAACACAGAACCATGACCATAGGCAGGTCCTACTTCTTGCAGGGAAGCCGTATTCAGTTGATAGGGGGTTGGGAAGTTTTTACCTGCGTATTCTTCTTCTTCCTCCACCACCTCCACCTGACTCTGGAAGAACGACACTTTGGAGGACTCCATTTCCGAGTTGGAAATTTTCATCGTCCTTGACTGGGAGTGATGGGAGCCAAAGGTGTTGTACGGGTGCTCAGCCGTGCCATACAAAAAGAGGGTCCATTCCTTTAACTTCCCTGAAAGAGATTCAACAGTTACAATCAACTGATGACATTTAGCTTCTACTCTCTGCCATCTTTTGCAGGATTGCAAAGCACCTCATGCTGATCAGGAAGTCCTCACACCCCTGCTGCGGGTGGGCACGATTTCCCCCAAGAAGCAGTGAAACGTAGGCATGTCAGCCTACAGAAGCCGGCTGTAGGAACGAGGCACCGAACCCAGGAGTCTTCTCTCAGCAGGCATGCCAGGAAATATAATGGCTTCAAGATTTTACACAGCATAAAATTGTCAACGGAGCAGAAGCAAGATCACTCAGCATAAATCTGTACTAGCTGACTGAACCGTGGGCCTAAATTAAGGTATCAGTTCAAGCCCATTAGGGAATTTTTTAATGCATTAAGCCTCATGTGATCAACTGCAATTACACCATGTGCTTAATAACTGAACTACGGAGAGAACTGTTTGCTGCAAAAGCTGTAATTCGAGATAAGGAGATTTTTTTTTTTCTCCTGCACAAATGCATCTCCAAACATGTGCTAGGGTTATATTTAGGCCTGGTTTCCGCAGTCCTCTAAACAAGTTTTTTTTCCCCAACGTAACTGATTAAAAAAAATAAATCAGAAGGACCACGCCAGAAGCATCATGGCTCCGTAAACACCAGAGCCAGAAGGGAGCATTGGCCAATTATTTTTGGTTTGCGTAGGATGGGGTAAACTGGCATCACAGATGCGATCTATGCCACAGAATTTCAACATAAATATAACATGAAATGCAATGCAAATAAGTACAAGTGAATAAGCTCGGGGGTAAATGGGGTCAAATAGCAGAGCCTCGAGAAGGCACCTCCTATGGCGTTAGAAAAGCAGTCTCTAAAAGAAGCCTGTTTGCGTAACAACATTACGGCTACTTAATTTAGGATTTAAATCCACATATGGGGGGGGTTAACGGCTGTGTAGACATTCCCACCTTGGTTTAAGAGGGTCTCATTTTACAGTAGGTTAAAGGCTTAGGTATCATGTATTCACAGCATACTATTTATACTATACCTATTACATTTATGCTATTATACTAGCTCATGTTTAAATGCGTTCCAGTATATTTATAGGATCTGCACTGCGGTATATGCTATACTACTTGAAAGCAGTAGTACGTGGATGCATTTACGCTGGTATAACGTGGCTAACATAGACCTAGTTTACAGTATGGACACACAAATAATTTATCATGGAATAAAAGGGTGAGGACTTTACCATACATCAGCTGCTCGGTGGTACCTTAGTTCTCCATGAAAGAGAGGGAATTTGCCATGGTTTAGCTACTACTTACCCTGGGTTAAGAGCATGCACACATGCAGTTATCACAGAGCAGCTGACATGTGGTAAAGCCCTGCTCCTTTTCACCTCAGGGTAACTTCTTTGTATGTCCCCATCCTTATTCCTAAAAGGGAAAGGGAATAAGTTAGACTGGTTTAAGCCACCACCTTTACACAAGTACAACTCCAACTACAACAGGCAGCCCACTTCCAGGATGCCCTTCCCCAGGGGTTTGCACAGCACTCTAGGGAAGTGCCAGAAACTCTGTTCGGAGGGCCCAGAAGAGGGGTTTGGCCAACACTTTTGAGACCCGAATGCCTCAAGCGATGCACCAAGATCTGCATCCATGTCCCTAAACTAAACTGACAAGGGTCTGAGCACCCTGGGCTCGCTGTGGTCACAGTGCAGCTCAATGCAGGGGCAACCACATACCACGATGGCAGGACCAGGGGGTTACTGTACAGGCAAGGGAGGGGATGACTGTGTCCTGACTTGGTTACAAAGAGAGGACATGGAAAGGTCTTCCTTCTAGATAGTTTTCCCACTCCTTGTGTTTCCACGCGAGACAACCATGATCCAGATTGAAGGGTGGGAGGGAAGAGTCACTCTGAAGACAGGATCATTATTAGTGTGTGTCCTCTCATCTTCTTAGCACCACCGCACTGTCCTGGTCTCCCCGGGCCTGGTTTCTGTTGGTCACGCTCT